AGGGGGTCCAACCCGTAACTAGCGTGGTGTACCTAATAAAGTGGCCGGTGAGTGTATACAGTATATATATACAGTATATGTGTGTTTTTATGTGTTTAAGGTCCTGCAGCTCCAGCGAGAGGAGGAACTCCTACAGCAGGAGCCTCCTTTTAAACAGAGCAACTCCAAGCAGTGTGACGCCCCGTTTGCTGCTGGTAGACCTTTTATCTTCCTGTTCGCCCGCCCTCACCCCTCGCGGCCCCCKGCCATGCCCACACTGCCTGAGGAAGAGGAGGACTCTCCTGAGGATATGGACAGCTCCTCCAGCTCTCCCAGTACAGTGAGTCCAAACAGCTAAAACACCCGAACACGTCATTTCTTCAGCTGTGAGAGAGAAATCCACCAACGTTTTCACTAAAATCTGCCTCTTCCTTTAATCCAACATGATCCTTTTCATTTACGAGCAGAAGCTTCCTGATTGGTCCGTCTTGGATTAAAACACACAGAAGTTTTGTCCTTTTGCAGATGCTTCCTGTTCAAACTGATCTTTGCTGTGTTACCCAAAAAAAAGCAGAAGTGAATAATTCTACAAACRGAAACTTTAGTGTGCCAAAGCATGTTGAATTTTGCCCCTATTTTAATTAGTCCCCACAAAAAGTTAACAAATATGACAGTTCACTCAATTTCTTGATGTTTTATGAGTCACTTTTATCACACATCAACCCAAAAMTGGCACTTTTAAAGAATTTGTAAATTTTCACAAGAACACTCATCAGCTCATTTCTGAAAAGTTGCAAATGATATTACAAGAATTTGTCGTGATTTTTACTGGTATATTTTGCAAATGAGCACTGCTGAAACTAGATACCACAGAGCGGTAGCATATATGACCCCCACATGTACGCACAGCACCAGTGCACCAGAACTCAAAATTCACCAGAACAGATTTATTGTTTTGGGTGGGGGGTCTGGGGCGGCTGATTGGTGGGCCCAATGGATAGCCCTTCATCAGAGCTAAACAACAACAAAATCTGAAGCTCCTTTGTTGAACAGTTTTTGAGTTGTAAGCATTCAGGTGGAGCCCTCCTTTATATGACAGCTGCTTATAATCAGACTGGTTTTAGTTTCATCTTTTATCTCTCCATCTTTTGCGTCTATCTTCACCTCCACATTTATGCTTATTTGTTCTTTAGTTTTGAAATATTGCTCTCAACCTTTATGCCAAAAACACAAAAATAGTGTTTATCACGGCTGTCAGTTTCAGGTAATTTCACAATTTTTAAGCWTTTTTAAAATATCACAGCTGTCTAATCCCAAATGATTCACCTAAAAGACCAAATAATTTGCTGTCGTGATGAATCTTCTTTCCTTCTGAACCCACTCTGTTGATGCAATTAGATTTCAGCTGTCAGAATGAAAATATAGTTTTAGTTAGGATCTGTAGACACAGAGAAGCTTTGGAGCGTTTACAGCTTGATTAACGACGGTTGACTGAGGAACATAAAGCTCAACTTGTAATAAATGATCTCATTTTCCATTTTTGTTGAGCGACTTTATTTTAATCAAATCATCACAGATCAGGTGGTGTGCTGTCTTTGAGTTTGCAACACATTACAAGAAAAAAAACTCAGTGAAATAAACAGAAATATACTTTTAGTGTATGTACCTGGTAACAACAGAGATCAACCGGTATTATGAAGTTGTTACCGTTTTACCGTACTTACAGCATATCAAGTATTTACTTTGTACTTAGAGGTAACAGGCTTACAGTTTGACATTTTACCAAATTTCCATTCACTGTTTCCTTGTTTTAAGTGGCTGCTGCTGTCTTTGTGTTGGTTTGAACAGTCCATACCAGCAGGTGAAAGCCAGGCTGCCATAATGACCACCCCCACCATCATTTACCCACAGCAGGCTGTTATCATCCATCAAGAGGGGCGCCCTCTGGATCAAAACAGGTGATCAACCTCTATCTCAAGCTCTGAAATTCATATTTCCTAACACTCATTCTAATCCAAACCAGAGATCCTTAAAACCATCCCTGTTTCCTCTCTCAGACCACACAGCCCCAGAGCCCGCCAGGCCAGAAACTCCACCGGAGGACCCATCACTACAGTCGGTTGGTAAACTCACCAAAACGCACAAACGGAGAAGCTCCAGCTGTTGTCTAAAAATACACACTATGAGAACTTTTTGTTATTTAGTTTTAGCCTAAGTTAGTCATCGGTTTCTGTCTGGAGAATTTTTTCCATTATATGCAGCTTTTGAAATGCTATCAGAAAAATGCTGTGCTACGATAAACCTGTCCTGACTGATAAATCAGTGGGATTATTGTTCCAACGACTCGTGCCTGAAATGTTTTCGATGCTTTTATTACTTTGATCATTTTCTTATTAGCTCAGGAAGGGCGTAACGAAACCTGTGATTCTGCAGGTGATTTCTTGACTGGCATATTTTTATCTCACCTTAAACCTTCAGATTTAGCTCTGTTTAATGCCGCAGGGACGCAGCTGCAACTAAAAATACTCTTATTGAAAGATTCAAAGACTCATAAAATTAAATGTTTTTAAGAATTTATTCGAATTCATAACCCTCTTTACATTATACTCAGTTAGAAATCAGGGAAAGGAGCCTAGAGAAATAAAAATACATGAAATGTAAGAGTGAGTGTGTGTTTCTTCCCTCAGACAGCACCGGGAACGTGATTGACCTGCTGAAAGACCAGCTGCCAGAGCTTCAGCTCTCTGAAGAGGATCGACAGAAGAACCTGGAGCTGCTGGATCAGGCAAAGAAGGCCAGCGACCGTTTCCTCACCCGCCGCGGACGCCGTTCCACCAGCAGCCTCAACGACTCACCCACAGGTAGTGTAAGCACAAGCTCACACAAAGATACAGTGATTTTTTTTCCTAAGTTGAGCGATTTTATCCCACTGTGTTTATTTTAATGTTTCAAATATTCTGCGTTAAGTTTTGGTTGCTTGGTTTGTCCCTTTAGAGATATTTGTTATGTTATATACTGATTTTGACAGTGTTTGTGTGTGTTTTTGTGTGTCTGTCAGCAAAATACAGCGGGTAAAATAAGTATTGAACACGTCACCATTTTTCTCAGTAAATATATTACTAGAGGT